CTATCAATCACTGATTCATATTGTTGGCCTGGCTCATTTACCAGCACACAGGCACTTAGTACAGATTTGCGTAAACGAAGAGATGTGAGTAATAAATAGAATTATGTCTAGCTGGATTGTGTTTCCATGGCATCAACATTGGTGCATGCAAAGAAGTCATATGAAAGAGAAATACCAGAGAAATGTGTCACTGAAATGGCCGAAATTAAAAGAAAATATAGGAAAATATCATAAATATTGCTGACAACTAAATATCAATGGTAGCAGTTGATATAAAAACTATTTGCTCTCACTGTTTAGACAGGTGAAATATTATAACAGCTGTGAGTTATCCGTGTACATCTTTAGGAATGCTTTTTTTGTCGACAATCGTGACATGCTAATAATTAGACCTTCATAGAGATGGCTGTGTGCGAAGGAGAGTTGCGTTTGTGTTTTAATAAGAATGCCAACATGTTCTCCGTCTGAAGTTATTATGCAATTCACTTTAACCTCAATTATTCAAATTTGTTTAAACAATTTTTTTTTTCAAATTTTAAACGATTAATTTAGAAGTCAATATAAAGGTGGAGTTAAATTTTTAGGCAGTTTCAACATGTTTTATTAAAATTATTGGATTTATTATAAAAACTGCAATCTGGAGTTATACAGATTAAACTAATTAATTGAAGGCTTCTGAAATTTAACGAAAACTTTTTTTTCCAAAATATATGATGGACATGGGTAAAGGAAAGAATCTAACAAATGCTAAAAACAGAAAATAAAGTTGTGAGGGAAGGTCTATATAGGTGATATAGAAGTAAACATTGCAGAAAAACATCAATACACGCAACCCTACATAAATCCAAAATTAAAAAAAAAGATTAATCAGTTTGTCTGACGATCGCAAAAGCGTGAAACCTAGGGTCACAAACTCACATCAGTCCAACTAAATATGTTAGCTGTATCTCTGATATTGAGCGCTTTCCAATAAGTACCGCACATATATAATATATAATTAATATATATAATAAATTGCATATATATATATATATATATATATATATATATATATATATATATATATATATATATATATATAATAATTATATATATACCAAGTTAAAAATATTGTCCCATCGCTACACAGGAATTACCATGTTTCAAAAAGAGAAACTAAAAACTTTAAATTTAATTATAAAATTAAACTAAAATCCTTAGTACTGTTTCATTTTTAAGTGAGTTTTGGAATAACTTATGCTGAAATTTACTGAGTTCATAAGCACATATAATCTTGATATTAGTTGCTAATGATTGAATTTCCCTGTAACCTTAGAAACTAATATCATGAATGTACTTTAATATAAAGACGTTTCTTCTCAATAACCGCCAGCAATTTATTATCCATTGATTTTGTCAATTTTTTTTACTTCAGCTGGTTCACTTTCCAACTTGGTAGTTTTAATTGCTTCCCATAAGTCTACTTTGCTGATATATTGTTTGCTTCCTTCATATAATTCCATCTTTTTGGTCATAGATTTCGATTAGATTCAGATCAGTACTTAATGATGGCCATTCCATTATCTTCTCTCCTGTGAATCTTTTGGCTCAAAACATCCACAGATAACTTTAGATATAAGGTTTGAAACGACAAAGCTGAGACTTGTAACATTCAAAAAATGTCTTGTTCATGAAATTGCAATAGTTTGCACTTCTCAGTTTGACTCCTTCATCGACTTTGAATGGTTTAATTATGGATTTGGTCGACAACTCCAAACCATATTATCACATTGCTGCATCCTTCCTGTCTTCTTTTAGCCACAGTCACATCTGCATCGGATAGAATCTATCCGTTGGACCATCCATCAGGTCTATTGAATGTCGGCCAATATTCTACACATTTTGTTTTTTTTCATTCCCTCAATTTCATTCAGTTTAATGATCTAAGAACTGGTCTAAAGTTGTTGTTTCGCTATAACTCTTAGAAAGATATTCCTGAAGCCTTTTCCATTGCTTCTAGTTTTTTACTTAATTATATTTCTGTGGTGTGTAACTCAACAATTCAACTGATGATAGCAGGTAGGCACAAAGAAAACCGGTGTCGCACGTTCAACCTTCTCACGAGCCGAAAGCCTTCTGATTTGAAACAGCAGAAACGAGCCTGCTTTATACAGCTGCGGACCGACCACGATTTGCATGCGAATCACGAGGCAACGAGATTTCGCGTTAACTGACCGAGACCGCTCGGCATAAAACGCGGGCGCCGCCATTTTGGTTTTCTTTTTTACCGTTGGAAGGACCAGAGTTTACATACTGCGCAGATTCGAACGCGTTTCCGAGGTAGGCCATTTTCACAATTTTCCCCACACTCCCCCCTGATCTCATGATCACAAACAGGGCAGGGAGGTGGCGATCGTCGCCGTCGAGTCCCTCTTCGAAGGGGGATAACACAAGCTTCATCCTCGTGCGTGTTCTCGTCTGTGGTTTGAGTATCGGTAAACACTGTGTCCGCCGGGAGGCTGCTGTTATCAGAATCGCTGCCCTGCAGGTCTACCTCAAGGCAGATTGAACGCTCACTACTCCCAGACTCGGAATCGCTTTCATCGCTCGGTAGCGGTAGTGATTGCGTCACCGGTCGCAAGTCTTTAATGTGACGAGGCACCCCATTAACTCTCACAGATTGCGGGCTGATAACCTCCGTAACACGTCCAGTGCCGTACTTTGTCGTACACTTGCCGCGTGGGTTTTTGACCCAAACGATGTCTCCTTTTTTCAATCTCCCTCCAGTCACTTCTAGTTCAGGCAGCAGGTTGGCTTCGATGCCTTTCACGCGGACATGATATTTGTGCAGTGCATCAGCCGGCGCCGTGGATGGTGAAATGTTATCCTTCGGGGCGACATTATACCAGTAAACCGCTTCCGATACTGTACAGCCCTTCCTGGCTGCGATGGTCTTGATGGTTCTGTGGTTCCGCTCCACGATGCCGTTTCCACTTGGCGAGTAGGCACATCGAAACCGCAGATGCACGTCCCGAGTGTCCGCAAATTCTTTTAAAATCTTTACTGGTGAACGCAGTATCGTTATCCGTCAGTATTTGCATGGGTGGGCCTCGCTCCAGGAAAACATTCTCCAACAGTCGAATGACGGTGCTCGCGTCTTGTCTGCGCAGCGGCCGCCATACCGCAAACCTGAGGGACCGCAATCAATGAGTGTTAAAAATTCTCACCATTGTAGTGAGTTATGTCCATTGCCAGTCTGCTCCAGTTGCTCTTCACGCTCAGTTCTCCTCTTTCCCAGTGAACAGGTGCCGGATCGATCGACTGACAGGTTGTGCAGGCCTTCACAACGGATTTAACGCTTTCTCTGGACACCTGCGGGTCGACTAACCTGGCGAAGTACAGAGTTCGTTTCACGCCCGGATGTCCGCATTGACGATGCGTATTGGCAACCTGGTCCTCATCCAGTCGTCTCCCTGCCACTGCACAGCTCTCGAGTGCCGGTTCTCCTCTCTTGAGCAGTTCTAGCCACCTGTGCGGTACTCTAGTGAGGCGATCTGCACGGTTCTGACAGGACTGCACGAGTGTCACGTCTACGGTCAATCCATATTCGTCCACCAACGATCGCAAAATGCCCAGCCGTCGCCTGACCAGCATCTCACCAGCCGCCCTTGTGTTTCACCCGTGCCTTCCCGGTCAAGGTGTCTGAAATCCACCGGTGCACACGCCGAATCAGTGACCAAGTAACGTTGTCGCCTCCCACTGGAGAGCCAGATTCACTCCTTTAAGCGCCGCATCGAGTTCAGCCAAATTAATGTGCCTGGCATCATTAGTCGGACGCATCCAGCACGCATCTTCGATGACATTTCCGTTTACTTCCAATGCCACTCCTGTCGCCACAGAACTCGCATCCACCCAGACTGTGATCTCGTCACCACTCATGCACCAGTCTCCTCCGACGGGATCCAGTTCCCGCACTCTACTTAACATCTCTGCTAGTATGCGACAGAGAGAGGAATCTTTGATGTTATCATCCCATCCATTGGTTGCTGCGGTTGCCAGGCGCTTGACGAATGCAACTGCCACCCTGAGCCATCCACACACTGGGAAGTGTCCAACAAGTTTCCCACACAACGAAAATACGCGCCGCCGGGTCAACACATCAGGGGCTTCCGGAATTTGACTTCCTCGTTTCCATCGGAGGGTGCCATTTTCTTCCCAGACCTGCAAGCCAAGAACTCTTGCTCCATCTCTCAGTCGCACCGGATCCTTGCACACCAAACCGTAATCCGAAAAGTGTTGTCTTACACGCGATGCAGAGGCCAAACTTTCATTAATGAAGATATCATCAACGTATGCTGATGTGGCACTTTCAATTGTGCGGTCTTGCGATGCGATGGCGTCTATAACGGATTTCATGATGAGTGGCGCTACATTTAGCCCAAATCCTAGCCGCGTAAGACAGAAGCGTTGGCCTTTGAAAATAACCGTTTGAAATGGCCACAGCGCTTCGTCGATGTGAATCTGAAGATATGCGTTCCGCAGATCCAGAAGCGACACATTGACTCCCTGCCGCCGCCACGTTCTCAACTTATGTGCGCACACTTCTGCATCGGCAGTGAAAGTATCCACAAAGTCGTTCAATTCGCGGTAATCAAGTACCGGACGCAACTTCTGTTTCTGCTCCTGCACGACTGCCATCAAGGGAATCAGACCCTTTGGGGGTCCCAGTCTTTCCTGGGGGTACGGAATCAGCCAGCCGTTCACAATCCACTGCTGAAGCTCTTTCTCGTATTTTCCTCTGATGCTGTCTGAACTTTGTACTCAGCGACCTTGTTGCGAAGCTGAACTGGCGGGTCTTTTTGGGCCCATTTCACCTGGCGGTCCACACTCTCTCGTCGGAATTGAAGGAGACGTCGAAATCCGGCTCACTAACGCAAAGGGCTGCACACACCTTTCTTCTTTCACCCAGTTCCACATTTCCGGCTGGCGTGATCATCATGCCTCCTAACGCTCGGATCGCATCAATCCCAAGTAGCAGGTCGTACCCGACGGGCCTTTGACGTGCCACCAAGACGTCGACTTTGGCATGACACAGTCCCGACACCACAACAGGCCCGGGACACCCCGTCAATCGTCCGAATCTCGATTTGTTGACTGTTCCATGTCACGCATCGATCCGCACTAACGATCGATCGGGAACATCCAGTGTCAACGAGCGCCGAACATCGTTTACCCTCAACGTACACGTTGACAACAGACAATGCCGCATTTACTGACCGAGAGGGGGCAAGGGTTGCGACAGCACCTTGTCCCCGGACTCGTTTCCCCGAGCAATCCTGTGCTACATGGCCTAACTCTTTGCAGCGATAGCAGCGTAGTCGTGCTCGGTTCCGTCTGCTGCCCCTCCTACGTCACTTCGGCTCCGGCAGTCCCTAGAGAAATGGTTGGGTCCACCGCACTTGTAGCACTTTTGGGCCCTCCCTCGGTGTCTCAGGCGTTCTCACGGCTGCCGCGATCTGTTCAGTGTCCTTTAAGATGTTTCGGGCCCTGGCTAGCAATTCGTCAATTCCCAGTGTGTCCAATCTTGAAGACGCTCGCAGGAGCCGACTGGTGTCGTCGGGAAGCCCTGCCAGGAAGGCGCACCCCAGTATGCGGTCCGTTGCTCTGCCAAACGGTACTGCCAGCCTTCGCAAATCAGCCAGGTAAACATCCACGGTCTCACCCGGCTCGAGCCGTCGTCCGACGAACTGTTTCCAAGCGATGAATGGATCTATTCCAAAGGCCGTATACAGGGCGTCCTTGATCTCTTCTAGGTCAGCATCGTCCCCGAGTTGTTGATATACTGCGTAGGCTCCTCCCGTGAGTCTCAGTCTAGGGACACCCTGCCAAACACGTTTCGGACACCCTTTTCAAACCATTCGACGATAGTCGGGCCCGTGGGGAGCCGTCGAATTCTGGGATCAACTTTAGATCGAACTTGTCCATCGCCGAAATAGCTTGTGGTGTGTAACTCAACAATTCAACTGATGATAGCAGGTAGGCACAAAAGAAAACCGGTGTCGCACGTCCAACCTTCTCACGAGCCGAAAGTTTTCTGAGGATTTATTGCAACAAAGGTTACAATTGCGGCACAAGGCCAAAAAGGGGGGGGGGAAAAGGCTGGTCAACACTAACTATCTTATACCTAGCTAATCTGACTCACGACCCATTCATACATTACAATTTACTCATTCACCACAAGAACTCATCCGTCACCAATCAATCCTTCATGCACCATAATACCTGATTCTCACCAGGGGACCTATAAAACGCTCCCCTAAATCATAAAAATTTGATGATACATAAATGATATACTTAAAAATCTAATAATGATAGGATGCAAGGGGGGAAATGAACCCAATAACAAATAAAAATAACACAAAATACAAACTAAACATAACACATGTTAGTAGGGACCGTCCAACCCTCAAAACAGAGAGGCGCTGTATTCTGCCCAGGGGACAGAATCAAGAGACGCTCTCGCTAAGGGAGGGGAAAGAAGAGAAAATATTATGCCGGAATGGGAAAATGTAAAGCTGACCCAGTCGAGATGAAAAAGTGGGGCCAAAACAAACTGGGGAGGTTGGGAATCTCGACTTGGACCATAACCAAAGAGCAGCCGGGATACAGGCCAGGAACAACACTTGCTCACCTTAACTAGGTACACTGAAGCTTGTCTAACCTAACCAAGGGAGGGTTCCACAGGAAGCCACCCCGATGTGCTGTAGGTTGACTTAGAAAAGAAAATCAAGGCTAGCCCCGGTCACACGAACCAAGCTCGCCTCTTTTACCCACCTTTCGCTGAAGACTGTCGAATGCAATCGCTTTCTATCAGATCTAATCTTCATCTTGAGCTGATGCTTAAAGAATTGGATCAGATGCTGATAAGAAAGACGGTTTCCCCATAAGACTTCCTCCATTCGCGTCGTCCAAATCACCATTCGAGCCGTGGCCATCAGCATCAGAAACACCATTCGTTTCTCCCCGGAATACGGGGCGACACATTGTCACACGCGTATGCGCGATCAATGGACACAAGCTGTTCGGGGAGCGAGACGAGCCGTCAGCTCGCCGACATGGTCCCATAAGGGGCGGACCCGGGGCAATGGTAGAAGGCGTGCGAAGCCGTTTCCTCTAAGCCAAGACCACACCGTTCACAGTCTGGCAAATCCGCCAAACCCCATATGAAAGCCTTGTCATTGAGAGGCAGCCGATTCCGAGCCAGTCGCCAGGTAAGCGAAAACTCAGGGTTACTGAGGTAATCCGCCGCTGGCGCCCAAGACCAATAGGAGCGATACTCCTCCTCCGACAAGTCGAGCGTATCACGTAGCTCATCCTTCGCGCGACCCTCCACTAAACCACGATAGAAGACCTTCCTAGGCCGAGAAAGGTCACTGGACCGGGGAATGGCCTTCAAGGCCAACCGACACTCGCGGAGGAAATCCGACTCACCCCGGGGTTTACGACGGCGCTCAGCCCGCGAGATGGGGGGATTGATGGTAAGGCTAGGGAAGGCGTCCCTAACAATCCCCTCCAGAATCGGATCTCCTCCAGTCAATGCGCGGCGTAGGAAAGCCAACCTAGAGGCACGGACGTGACTCAACAGATGTGGCATTCCCAGCCCCCCATGACACGGACGTTTAGTGCAGACTCGTCTGTCGACCCTGTTCACGCGTCCCCTCCATAAAATGGAGGATAGCGATCGCTCGAGCACCTTCCTGCGGTCTTTACAGAGAGGAAGTACGGACAATCGATAAAGAATCAGGGGGAAAATGTATGTAACACACACCTCCGCCCTGCCCTTTACGGACAACCTCCGTCGATTCCAAATCTTACCGGCAAAATCGACCTTTGCTCGTACTTCAGACCAATTCTTCTCCAGCTGGAGGTCGGGTCCAAACCACACTCCAAGAATGCGGACAGGACCGTCCGTCCAACCGAAGCGGCCCGGAAGATCGACCCCCTTCCAGGCACCTAACCGCAAGCCGGACGACTTGTCGCGGTTTATCTTGGCCCCTGTCACCTTTTCGTACCGATCAAGCGCCTTCTGTACCGCCTCAATGTCGTTGCGGGACGACACGAAAGCAGATACGTCATCGGCGTACGCAGAAACCCTGGCTCGAGACCCTCCAGGGACGGCGATTCCACGTAGGGCCGGACTGCCGGTCTCATCCTTCAGCCGGCGAAGGAGAGGCTCCAACGCCAAAGCATAAAGGAGAGGCGACAGCGGACAACCCTGACGAACCGACCTAGACAGCACGAACGCGCCCGACAACCTTCCGTTCACCTGTACCACAGCACTGGGGGAGCGATACAGGAGGCTGATCCAGCGGCAGAAGTTGGGTGCGAATCCAGCGGCCTGCAGGACAGTAGCAAAGGTAGCGATGGTCAACCCTATCAAATGCCTTGGACTGATCCAAATTGATCAGCGCGGCTTCTTCGTCGTCTTTACGCCCTCTATGATCGTGCGGATCAGATGCAGGTTGCTCTGAATTGTTCGGCCCCTCACAGAACAAGTCTGCTCAGGTCCCAACAGAGACTCGGCAACTGACTGCAAACGCTCCTGCAGGATCTTGGCCATAATCTTTAACTCTGTGTTTAGCAGAGTTATGGGCCTGTAATCATCTAGCTTCCCCCACCACCTTTGCCCTTTTTCAACAGAGTGATCACACCCTGGTGATCCGATTGGGGATGGACCCCGACCGAAACCAGTTGTTGAACACTGCTGTCAAAATCGGAACAAAGATGTGCGACAGCCTCAAGTACAATTCATAGGGCAAACCATCCAGACCGGGCGACTTGCCTCTGCCGACCTTCTTCAATACCGCGTAGACTTCGCCCTCCGTGATCTCTCCCTCGCAGCTAGCCGCTTCCAGTCGGCGAAAGCCGAGGAAAGTCAATAAATAGCTACGAAACTCCTCCTCACGGAGACCAGGCTCCTTGGTAAACCGGCTCTCGAAATGGCGCCGAAACGCCTCGCACATGTCGTCAGTGGCCCGAAGAGTATGCCCCTCCGGGGACTCGACTTCACGAATGTAACGATCGCCACCTCGACGAACCTCTTCCCTGCGCAGATCTGCGCCCAAGTTCACAGCTTCGGAAGACATCTTGCTTAACTTATGTCTAATTACCTGGCCCATGTACCGCTCGCTATTCAAACGATCCAGGGCCTCCCTAGCTAAGGCTATCTCTAGGGGATCCCCCCCAGCCACCGCCCGGGTGTAACTAGCTTTAAGTGTCTTCACCTTTCCAGCTCTATCTAGAGCGAGCCGTTTGCTGAAATCAGTGGTGAAAGACCTAATCCTACTTTTTAAGGTTTTCCCACCACCTATTCCCGATAACCGCCCCCACTAGCTCCCGCTGCACTAATCTAGTTAGCTGCTCCCGGAAGTCCTGCCTGTCCAGTAAAGACTGATTGAACTTCCAGTAACCAGCCATTCTAGGCCTATGGTCTAACGCCACACGGGCACAAACCAGTTTGTGGTCCGTGTAGCCTACCCAGTGGAACGTAGGGCAATCTAGTAGATCTATGTCGGCTCTTCTAACTAACATCCTGTCAAGGTAGCTAACCACCCTGTCAGAAGGCCAATTAAGAGCCCACGTCCACATTTTCCCCCCGGATGATCGACCCGGTATCTATCGACGAGACCATAATCGTTGATCAGATCAACCAGGCTACGATCGCCCTTCTCCCACTAGCTCCCCACCCCTGTCTAACTTGGAGTCCAGGATGGCATTCCAGTCCCCATTAAAACAAGGCGCGTTGAATCAACCAGGAACGGCCCCAACTGTCGAAAAACGAGACCCGCTCCTCCTGGTCATTGGGCGCATAAACCGCAACGACTCGGAACGAACCACTTTTCACGGCAATATCGGCCACGATCAACCGGCCCTCGGCATCGGTATGCACAAGGTCCACCTTCGCATCAAGAGTCCGTCTGACAAGCAAAGAAACCCCTCTGGCAAACCGGTCCCCATATGCTGAATAGACGACAAAGTCGTTCTCCAGCACACACGCATCGGCACTGCAAACAAAGTGTGTCTCTTCGATCGCGGCAACATCCACATCCAGGGACAGAAGGTCCCGGAGCAGGCGGGCAGCCTTACCCCGATCCCTTAAGCCCTTCACATTCAACGTAGCTATCTCAATTGACATCTTCTAAGTCCTGTAAAATATAAAGAACAGAATTAACCTATTCACATACCGGGCGGAAATCTGCAGCGGTAAGGACCCCGACGGACTGTCCCAGGTTTCCTGTACCCAACTCGGTCGTCATACGACCACCCAGGACAATACCGCCAACGTCCGTGGGGTAATTTAATTTTATGGCCCTATACAAAGAGGGATGGAGCAGAACCGGGACCCTCCCAGAGCAAAAATGTCTCATCTTTTGAGGTCTTCATTTTTTCCTCCATTACCCTTATTTTCGGATAAGCTTCTCGAGCCTCATATATATGGCTCCACACTTTCAAGTATGCCCCGGTGTCTCTTACGACGGTGATGACACCTGGGGCGTTAGGGAAGTTTCGTGGGTCTTCTACCGATTTCCCATCCACCTCGTTAAACTTAAATAGGGGTCCCAAGAGGGCCTTTTTTGTTTTGATAGTCCTTGTTTTGCCTCCTCCTTATCTACTTTTACAGATCCCCTCTGGACCCGGGAAGTATTTTTTTTTTTTTTTTTCCTTCTCCCTATCACGATGGGGAGGGGTGGAAGGGACGCGTGCGGGGAAGTAGCCAGGTGAACTTAGGGGTGTAATGGGGAAGAGGGGGTTGGAAAACGGGAAGGGGAAGAAGGGACGCTCCTAACTTTGGGGGAGCTGGAATCTCTTATTGGCGAAGCCGGGAAGGAACGCCGCCTGGTTTTGTCCATGCTTCGCTCCTCTCTGCTTCGGCCAGACTGTTCTGTTTCCTCTGGATCTTCCTCCCTGCTCCTTTTCAGGGACGGAGTTCGCGGTGGAGGCATTTTATCTACCTCCATTGATGTTTCTTCCTCCACCTGCTTCTCCTTGTGGAGGTGTTGCTGCCTTTTTTGCTGCTGCTTCTGCTGTTCCGGTTTTTGCTTTTCTGCTGATCTTGTTGCTGCAGTTTTTGTTGCTGTTTCGAATGCTGGTGTTTCTGATGCTGAGGGAGGTTGTTGCTGTTGAAGCTTCTCTTGCTGCTGGGGCTTCTGCTGTGGCTGCTGCTGCTTCTGGGGTTTTTGTTGTTCTTGTTTCTCCTTCCGCACTGGAGGAGGGGGTGGAACTGCCACTTTTCCCCTTTCCCCCACCTCCGTCCAGGCTCCCGGGCCAGCCTTTTCCTTTGTTGGAGCCACTTCTGTCACTGCTGTTACTGTTGCTGGAGTATCTTTTGTAGTCTGCTGAGCCTTTTTCCCGGGGCACTCCTTTGCCATGTGCCCGACCGCACCACACGCCCAACAACACGGCTTCCTGCCCTCCACTACCACCAGCATCTTCTTCTCCCGGCAGGTCAACACATTTGGTATGTCCCGAAGTTGTCCCTATCCAGGACTACCTGGAGCACCAAGTCTCCCGTTGCTATGCCAGACTTGCTTCTGAGCGCACTGACTTCCTCTACTTGGCCAAATTTGGCGAAAAACGCTCCTATTCTGTCCTGGGTAATGTCGACAGGAACGCCGTGAGCAGTAATCCGCGTCTTTCTCGTCCCCATGTATTCTGTTTGGAGGCGCAAGTTTGTTGTGGACAAGATGTTTCCAGCCAGCTGCTTCGCCTCTTGCTCCGAACCAAGCAGAATGTCCCACATGGCATTGCTTCTGCGGGCTAACATTTTGGGGGCTATCTTGAGGGTCTTTAGAGCATCCTCTACATTGTCTCTGCTGACTCAATCAGTCTATGGGTTTTGACATCCGATGTTAGCAGAGAGATAACTTTGACCTTGATAGCGTCTAAGGCCTCCGGAATTGTAATAAACTCATTCCCCTTCACGTACTCTTCGTATTTCTGTCGTTGTTCTTCGTAATACGAAGAGACTTTCTTCTTCGGTCCACTCTCGGACCAGGCCTGACTTTTCGCTGGCGACAAATTTGGACTTTGCACCGGCGGTGTTGGTCGAGACATGTTTACGTTTGTGTCGTCGGCCATTTTGGCCGCGACCAAACGAATATAACTGTATTCTTTTTCTTTTAAATTTTTTTTTTTTTTTATTGCTTTTTCTCCAAAATGTATCAAACAGAAAATAAAATGGAAGAAAAACGTGGGCAACCAAAGATAATTCAAACAAAAAATAGTAAACCAAAGTAATACAAACAAACAAAACAATGGGGAGGGGTAAAACTCGCAAAAAACAGAAAAGTAGAATAAAAACAAAAAAGAAGAAACACAAATAAAGTAAAATAAAGACTTTAAAAAGGTTTTAGAAACTCAAAACTTAACTGTATGTCAATGCAAGAAATTGTCCAATTTGTAAAAAGCAAGAACTTCCAGTTGCTAAGCCAAGACCTTGTTTTCCCTTAAAAGTATGATCTGTGATTATCCGCAATTCCTGACCAGAAACCAGAGTTCGAGCCGAAAGCCTTCAGATTTGAAACAGCAGAAACGAGCCTGCTTTATACAGCTTTTGCATGCGAATCACGCTTTCGCGTTAACTGACCGAGACCGCTCGGCACCGCGGGCGCCGCCATTTTGGTTTTTTACCGTTGAATCACCAGAGGCAACGATTCGAACGCGTTTCACGTTTTTCAACCCCACACTAACAAGATCGTTCGATGCTTTCTGCAATGTTTACATAAAATAGAAAAACGGTCTGCGCGCCATTTTGGAAAAATTTCTTTTCCAACATTGAATACGGAAATCAAATGCGTATGTATGTACACAATGGCATATATATACATATATATGCCAAGTACCATAGTGTTCACATATGGTGGGCGAGTGTGTGTGTGTGTGTGTGTGTGTGTGTGTGTGTGTGTGTGTGTGTGTCGCGCATGCACGGGCGTGTACCTATGTTTGCGTAAGTATGAATGGCACCACGACGACAATTTTTCCTCCAACTTCCATAAAAACATCAATACACGCAACCCTACATAAATCCAAAATTTAAAAAAAAGATTAATCAGTTTGTCTGACGATCGCAAAAGCGTGAAACCCAAGGTCACAAGCTCTCTCTCTCTCTCTCTCTCTCTCTCTCTGTATATTTTTCAAGAGTTAATTCTAACGAGGGTTCATATTCTCTGTCTAATTCAGCCACTGAAACAAGACAGCAAACAAATGTCTTGTTCAAAGTGTCTAAAACAATTATTTCCTATTTTTTGAACTTAGAATATTGAATTATAAGACGAAGTAGATAAAGTTATTCAGAGACAAAAAAGGTTAAACAGACATTTATATTTTAAAACAACAATACTACAATATTTTATAATGCAAAACACAATTTGGTTGATTTGCCATTTTTGAAATTTTAAAATATTATTACTGTCTTCTCTTTTCTGATATGCAAAATTCGTATCAAGTAATCAAGTAATCAAGTAATCGATTTTCTGGATATGTTCGTTCTTTATTATTTTTTCAAAATAGATTAGAATTATTCAATAAGATTCGGGTCAGGACAATGAATCGGTTTTCGGTGTCGATTAATATTAGTTTCGATCTGATACTCTCGGTTCTATGTAGCACTGAGATTCTTTCAGAATTTACCAAATAAATGGATTCCAATAAGCATAAGAAACTGTTTGCATAGAACTTATGGCTACATCTAGCCAGCTCAGTGGTAAATTGATGAGATCTTGACGCCAGTCTTCTACTAGGCTTAAATTCAAAAAGTCTATGTATCATAGCGAAGAGCTCATCCGAACAATTATCATGAAAGTATTCATAGAAAAGACACAGAGAGGCAACCTTACTGCTATGGGAAAGTGACCGAAGCCAAGTCGCTTGATCAAGAACAATAATATTACTGATTCTCCTTTGGATCTTATCAACGAGCTCAAGGTAAAAAGCAGGGGCACCGGACCATATTGTGGCAGCATTATTCTAAGCATGGACGAATGGTAGCCTTATAGATATGTAAGATATATTCTGAAGAATAAAATTGTCTCGCACGACACAGTGAACCAACTTTTTTAGCAGCTGACCTAACAATGGATTCAATATTTACTGTTTTAAAAAAATGTTGATATATGTACATCTGCTCCAGCACTCTTCAAATATTCCTGGATATGGTTTATGCCCGATGTCAACCCCTGTATGGTAAACTTCCTTTAAAGAACTGATCTTGTAAGCATAAGTACAGTATGGTTTTCCTTCTATCTATAACCGAATACTCTTATATCTTTCTTTTGTATTGAGATAGAATTAAGGCAATTTCTTTTCCAGGTTCTTGGAGTAATGATGTGTCTAGAACAAAATTACCTGTCGTAGGCTTTCTTTCTGCAGCCTAGTCCTGCGTATGCAAAAACATGTATAATCGCAGACAATTCAGAGACTATTCTGAATATGTTGTTCACTCTGAGTGACTCTTCCTTGTTTCAATAAAAATGAGTTTTCAATCACATTCTT